GGAGCCAACGTTAGGAAAAAAAGACGGCCGGAGCCAACGTTAGGAAAAAAAACACCTCCGCCACATTTGTGTTACGAAAAAGCACGACGCACGCAAACAAAAAGCAGCTGACATGACCAAAGGATCCCATCCCAGCAGAATCAGCTTGCGTGATCAGGCGTGAATCACTTCTTCGACACGTGTTCTGTGCTTGCGGCTGGCTGTGGGTTCAAAAGGACTTCAATGGGAAACCCAAATCAGTGAACCCCAAGAAGATAGTAGGAATAAAATCGAAATATCCCGAACGGGATCCTCATATTCCTATTTAGTATACTCCCAAAATATTCTGTGGGGATTTTGTCAGCGTATCGGGGGAGGAAGGCGTGAAACCAATGGGTGAGGGCCGCAGCAAGCATGGCCCATGGCCATTCGCTCTCAAAAGGCCGGTTACAACAACATGTGGACGGGCTCCACAAACTATCTCGCAATTGAAATATCGAACCCTCATTGGACGCAAATTTCTGTTACAACAGAAGACCTAGGGCCTAGGGATTTAGGAAGGGTGGGCTGTTTCACAACCGTTTAGCCGGAGGCTTCAGAGGGGCTGCAACAAGGCCAGCAAAGACGATCAAAGGGCTGCGAGGGTACGCTTGGAGACGGAGACAAAGCGAATTTTTCGAGTAGTGGACATGGGCTGAGGAGAGTTTTCGGGCAACGCGAGTTGCCTGCCAAGCGATTTCCTCCTCCATCGCCAGCGCGGAGGGTGTCGTGCTCGTGTTCGCTCAGGAGACTTGCAGTGTGATTGCAGCACCATGCTTTTAGGGTTTCGTGTCAAGGATTAGGTAGGAATGACTGTAGGCCAGGGGAGGCTGAAACATGCTGCCAGGATGCTTCGAGCTCCAGCGATTGCAAGAGCCTGCTGGAGTTCTGTTCGGACGCTTCGATGTGAAAGTGCAGCGGCACACTCACCACCACGTCTGAACGAGTTGCCATCAACATCACGTGTTCTCTTGACCAGAACCCATCACAGGATTCTAAGGAGGCCATTGAGAAGGCAGATCTTGTGAAAGCAACGCTTACGTGCAAGGCCTGCGGGCAACGCTTTAGCTGCATTGGAGGCTACGGTGCACGTCGCGCCCGCGGCAGACTGGCAACACGTGTTGCCAGCTGCGCAGAGTAAGCTGGAAGCCTGAGATTGAAAGCCAAGCACACCTGGACAGAGAGCAGCCTCTACTCCACTCTTTGCGAAGATGTTCTTAGGTTCGAGCCTATCCCCCTAGCTGCGGACGGCAAAAGGCTGCTCATCTATGTAGGCGAGGCCTTTTTCATTCTGCTTGTGGCATGTGGCACCACTCCTTTGCCAGAGGCACGCCGGGAAAGTACGCGACAATGTGCCTTCGGTCAGATCATGGTCAGTTCGATGCCGCCTATCAGGCAGCAGGGGGGATGCCACAGTGCACCGCATATTTCAGAGGTCTTGTGAGCAGCACACCGCTGACACAAGTAGAAACAGTTTTCAAAATGTAGCAAGTGGCTGGGTAAGCATAAAAGCTTCGGGGATTCGGGGGAATTGTGCTGAGCCTGAGCTGGCAGACTATCGGGGCGGTGAGGGATCCTGCACCAGACACTGAAGTGTCGGAAGCGTCCGCAGAGAGCGACAGCCAGAGAGGGCTCACTTGTTGATGCCAAGAAAGCAAGAGAGTGCTTTGTGGCGTATAACTAGCCAACAGCAAGTTCAAGGTGAATCCCATATAAAACGATAGGATATGATAGGATCATCCCCCATACGTGTAGGGAGCAAGTCGCGACAGTCATGTTGGCCTGTTCAGAGGCAGATCGGCTCGTTGTCCTCTGCAAGGGAGCCCCTTTGGCCTGCAAGAGAAGTTCTTAATCTCAATAGGGAGAGAGGCAGATTTTCAGCCTTCGTTGACCACAGGTGTGCATGCTTCCGATCGGCACCCAAGAGCAGAACATCATAGGCATCAACGAGAAAGAGGTGCAGTGGGCGCAAGCTCGTGCTTCAAGACTTGGACCACCGCCCTGAATTGTATTCGTACCATGGAAGATGTGCACTGCGCAGGTCCTCAAATCAATCTGCCATCAATTGAAGGAGAAAGGTGGGGCAGCAGGGCAATGGTTTTTTTCTAGCAACTGGCTACTAGCGGCTAGGACCCGTTGCTTGGGGTCTTGGACCCGGAACCAAGACCATGTTCCTGCAAAAGGCGCGGAGAAGAGCAACGATGTAGAAACGATGAATGCATTGTAAATGCTTGCAGCTGCTTGCAGGCCTTTGGGTATCCACAGGCAGCGCGGCCTGCTATCCTGCTGGAACCCTTCTTTGCCTTGCGAGTGCGGAGGCTTTGTCGATGCCTTCGCCCATGACTTTTGCAAAAGAGAGGACTGGAGGTTTCAAGTGCTTGGCCGGCAGCTCAACTCCAAACCCAACCGCCTGCATGTGGCTCTTCTCATCAGGATGAGAGAGCTCTTGTTATTCTAGGCAGACTATGTCAAGTTCATCAACTGCGTTAAGATGGCAAAGCGAACGGCCAAGATGTGACTCAGTGGCGCAGTGATGTAGTGAGTGAGCACGTGGCTGCAGGCCAGAGATGACAGCAGGACACCAAGGAGTCTCCTGAATCCTGATCCCGACGGGGGTTGTCTTGAATGTCTTGAATTGAATTTGAGGTGAAAAACTTCTACGACACAGGCCTGACAGTCCGAGGCTTAGCATAACGTGTTGGAATGTTGTCAGGCACCAAGTGCGTGGGATCAAAAGGTATCCGTCCTCATGGCCACAGTTGTCTCGGAGGTCCAAGATCTTGGGTAGGCATGCTGCACGAGCAGGCGTCCTGCCTCTAGACAGGGCACATCTCTTCTGACCGATGGCGACGGTTTGGCTATGCTGCGTGATGCCAGTATTGGCATGGGCCTCGCGTTGATCTTGCGCATCCCGGTACGTTGCGTTATTTATCCTGACATTTCAAGAGGTCACATCATGTCTAAGCTGAACCAGGCAGGATGTATCTTCTCTGCAGCAGGCAGAGCGTGGGCATCAGGTGATTACGGTGGAGCAGCTCGCTAAGAAGCTTCTGGGCTGAAACATTCCGTGCTCTGATTGTAGAAGTGTTTTTCCTGGAAGACCTGCTGAGGAAGAGTGTCTATAACTTTTTCATCGGAGTTATGGCCTTAAGCTGGCTCTTGGTAGGGCCTGCACAAAATCCTCTAAGAAACTGATGACAGAAACTGAGGATGGAGCTTGCCGACTGAATGGGGGGACCGAGCTGACATTGCACCTGATGGAAGGCTGCCGTCGAAAAACGTTGCCAAAGTGAATTCCCGCTTGCCTCCTCACGAAAGGCAAGTCCGCAGATTCTTTTACCACCGTCTTCTTGTTCAACAACAAGGTGCTCAGAACCTTGGCTTCTGTGGGCATCCAAAGACGCTCGCCAGGCCTGGGCCATTGAGGACAACTTGGTAGCCACAAAAGAGCAAGAACACGCGCCGGAGCTCAGTGTTCTCCTCCACAGTCAGATGCGATACTCTAGATTATTGTCTTGCATGAAGTGGATGTACCTTGTTAGCTATCCACATTTGTCTTAACAGTTGCCATGTGACAGCATGTGACAGCCCCGCCTCGATATCCTCCACAACTTCGTGGCTGCGTCTAGGGCAGGAACGTCCAACAGCATCTGACACCTGTCCCTGGTGAACTTGGTGCCTGAGGATGTTTCAATGCCGGGGACAGTTCCGGAGTTAATGGGCTCTGGGCGAAGAAACCCCCAAGGTGCTCTACAACACGCAGTTCTATGATGTTGTTGCAGAGCATCAGCGCATTTGCATCTGCTACCCGGCACACAAGCCTTACCACCGGGTTTCTCTTTGCAGTGCATTTGTTTTCAGGCTACTGCAACGGCCCGGAACTGAAGAGTTGACTTGCATGCCCTAAGGCGAGACTGAGCAGGACTTGCGCGAGATCCTCGTGCACCTTAGCGACTCTGGGCTTACGGTTTGGCTGGAGTGTGAAAGAATCCGGGATTCCATTCAGGCAGGGTCAGCCACTTTCAGTGACAGGGAAGGTACTCTGTTGGTTGTTGGCCGTGGGGCTGTGGATTTTCCATTCACGCCGCTAATGTCACTACCGTAGCTGTGGAGAGTTTGAGCGGCCAGCACGTAATGAAATGTTCAAGCTTTGGAAGACACACGGTTGCAGAATCCAATGGCGAATTGCAAACATGTGATCCACTTTGTCAAGGACATTCGCGTCGCAGAGGAAGCCCCTTCCCCACAGTGTCTGGGTCTTACCTTAACCCCACCCACACCAAAAGCAAATGAAGAGGCTTAGCACCAAAAGGCATTTTCAGGGGTAGTCCACGCAAGCTCCTCTCATGAGTGAGATATCGCGGTGCTGATGATGCTTTGCTCAGCTCAAGGCCCGTGGAGCACATCTTCACAGCTTGCATTCGTGACAGAACCATATGCGCACAGACTGTCCGCCAGGGCCAGCCTGGGACCCAAAGTTCTTTGTGCATTTGAGGCGACAACACCTGTGGAGCCAATCTAACTTTTTATGTCATAAAAGGTGAAGCAGTGCCCGCCAAGCCGAAAGCAGCACGACAAAGAAATGGAAATTGGCTTGAAGTGCCGTTGTGGACTAATTCAGCAGTCTGGTGTCCCAGGAGAAGACTGTGAAGTATCTAGCTGGACAAGCCAAGCCGGGCCACTTGCCAAGTTTTCATCGCAAGATACAACTGCCTGCAAGTGTGAGGCTTCAGTGGCAGCTTTGGTGCAGATTGTAGCCAAGACTTGATGCCGATTTTCGGCTCTTAATTTGGGTATGCATGGCCGGCTTTCAGGCATGCATATGGTTGTGGTACGCGGCCTGAAAATGAACTTGCCCCCGGTCATCGGCGACATTGAGCCCATCAAAGCATCAAAGGAGCCGCTTCTTGCTGGGAAACTCTGCACGCTTATTCTGATTGGCAGCTGCTCCGCAATTTCAAGGCTAACATATGCGTGCTGAGCATGGGAAGGTTGAGAGTGTAAGCATTGCTGTACAAGGTGATGCAGAGCACCCAGGCTTCGGACGAAAGCAAAACCTTGCCGAACTAGCTCAATCCTATGCTAGGAGCATCATGCTCCTGCTTGCGCTTGTACCTGCAGGAGATGCAGTTCATGCGAGAAGTTCTTGGGGTGTTTGCAAAGGGTTGCGAGAACCGCGTTCCCCTCTACGGATGCTCCGCGCTATTTGACTGTTCTGGCATACCTACAGGTCTGTGTGTTGAAGTAGACTTGATGTTCAAGCCTGGCCCTGCCACCCCCTGCCAGCTGCGAGGTTTGAGTACATCCAGTATCTGCACATCTTCCTGGAACAAATGCCGGAAGGTGCACTTAGTGCTGCCTAAAGTGCTTTTTGTTTTCACTCACTCGCATGCGGAATCACGCAATCCAGTCTGGAGGCAAGCATTACCAGTACATCTGTGGCCGGACGGACATCCAGGCGGCGCACATGATGGGCTTCCAGCAGCCTGAAGGCAAGTGCGTGCTATTCATCAACGAGTCTTGGCGAAGACACCAAGGTTTGGATGGAAGAATTCAGTTCAGGTAACAGTCTGAAGCTCTATTCAAGCACGAATCCATGAGGACGTCTATGGCGTGAACTCCCTCGGAGAAAGCTTGCGCTTTGTGCTGAGTGGCTTTGGTGGTCGGCAAGTGCTTGTGATGGTGTGGCATCCGTCAGTTCTAAAGGCGCCCGACGCTTGCTGAAAAAGCTTGGGTTGGCTGCTGTGCAAGGGATGCGAGCTGTGGCAGCCTCGCTGGCCGCCTTCTACTTCCATTGTTTTGCGGTGTGCACACCACCGGCACCGCCACCGCCGGATCCAGGGGCAGTGCCCAGATCCAGAAAACCCTAAACAACCATCACAGCAAACTATGTCAGCAATCGCTTCAGTGGGGCATCCTCTCAGTGCAAACCATTACGAGTTGAGCCAAGTGCCCCTAATACTTGTTCCAGGGGGTGGGGGTGGAGGTGGGGCTGCCGCCGCAATGCAAGCAGCAGCCACAAACATCAGCAAGCGGCAATTGACAGATGCTGGTATTGGCTTGCATTGGTTGCGTTTGTTTTTCTTGACTGTTTTAAATCAAAGGGCTAGCCTCTTCACACAAACCTTGATGCGATTACACGTCAGTTTAAGACGTATAAAGAATCACCCCAAGGGATCCAGAATACAATGTTGCTGGATTTTTGTTCAGAATTTGATATTGTTTGAGGGAAACGGGATAAACTGCGCCAGATTCTTGAAAGAAGATGCACCTTTAAAGGTTGCTTCAGGACTGAGGCACTGAACGTCACTAAGGCTACACTAGGTCGCCAATGCGTCTCTAAGCACCAGAGCATTTACTTAAGACATCAGAGGTTCAAAGACCAGCAGCTCATACACCCCAGCTCCACATCGAGCGTATTTCAGGACTCGAAGAAAGCAATCCAGCCATCGATTTAGTCTGAGAGAGGCTTGGATTCACTAAGCAATGCAGCTCAATTGTTTCCGTGGCCGGAATAACTAACAGGCTCTTGACCATTCTTGGCCTTAGGGGTTAATTGCAAAGCTTTAGCACCAGAGCCCTCGCTATTCATGCTACCCATCCTAATTCGAATGCGGATACTACTACTCATGAGATTATGCGTATTTGTTCAACAGAAATATTATTTACTTCGAGGATCCCACCCTAGAGACGTTATTGCAC